GGGGAGGGGGCTCAGGACACCCAGTGGGTTTCTTCCCCCATGTGAGTCAGAGTTTCCCGAAGGCGATGCTCGTCCCGAATAGCCGGCAGCGACATGGAGACCCTCGGGGCCATGTTCCCCGTGGGGGAATGGTGCCCTAGGACCTGGGGTGGGCTGGCAGGGGCATGAAAATCATGGTCCATCGTGCTCCCTGCAGAGACCCCTCCCCACACCGACCTCGGCAATGTCCCTGCCCTCCTCGTCTGCACAGGGCAGGATCATGTTGTGGGGGGGTGACTTTGGGGGAAATGCTGCAGACATCAATTATTCATCTGGATACTCGGGGAAACCCTCAGTCGCTGTCCTGGGGGACTTCAGCAGAGCGGTGGGAAGGTGTCACCAGGCTGGGGCCAGCGTGTCCATGGTAGTGTCACAGCTGCACGTGGGGTTGTCATCTGGCTCCTCGAAGACCCTCCGGAAGGCGACGTGGAGGGACACCAAGGAGCAGCGCTGCCGGCAGCTCCCCACCAAGAAGTAGATGAAGGGGTTGATGCTGCTGTTGATGCAGGCGAGGAGGAAAACCACCTGGGAGGGCACCAGGCTGTAGCCAAACTGCTGCAGGAAATTCCAGATGCTGAGGGGGAGAGCGAAGAGGAGGAAGAAGAGGACGGTGAGGAAGATGACGATGTAGAGCCTCCGGAGCTGGTGCTGCTGGGAGCCACACTGGACTTTAATGAAGAGAATCGTGCTGGAAATGACCATGGCTGGGGCGAAGACGAGGAAGTTGAGGGCGTACATGGAGATGAGAGCCATCCGGCAGTGCTCATGCTCGTGAGACAGGCACAGAGATGTCACCGTGGCGATGACAGCAATGGAGAGGACCCAGAGCAGTGTGCACACCGCGGCTGACAAGCGCTGGGGACGGCGGATGGTGGAGCAGAGGACGGACACACACCTCTCGATGCTGATGGCCGTCAGGAGGTACAGCCCCATGTTGTAAGAGAAGAGCGAGAGCAGGAAAAGTGAACTCAGGTACCTCACGGACACGACGGTGGAGCAGGTGACATTGTCCATCATGTAGAGGAGGGCGGAGGTGAGCAAGAAGAGGAGGAAGGTGAAGTCGGCGACGGCCAGGTTGAGGATGTAGACGGTGATGGGGTTCCTGCGGATGCGGCAGCCCAGGAGCCAGAGGACGGCCCCGTTCCCCACCAGTCCGCAGAGCCCGATGAGCAGCGTGACGCCGTCGATGGCCATGTCGGTGACCTCGATCCTGCACAGGTCGTCACCATCGGTCTCTGGTGTGGGTGACATGTGAGGTGGGGACGTCTGGTTCAGATCCATGAGCTGTGGTCAGAGCAGACGGGGGGGTCAGTGGGTTGGAGAAGCCAAGGCTGAGCCACGCGACCCCTCCCCAGCTCTCCATCAGTGGAGGGCAAGCGGGACATGGAGGGGACGGGAGTGGTGACATTGCAGGGGGGGAGAGGGGAGAGGCAGGTTCACCAGGATTTGCAGAAGGCAAGCGCAGGGCAGGGGGGAGAGGAGCTGGGGACAGCGCTGGCGGTCACTGGGAGAGGGTGGGAGGAAGGTGGCGGCTGGCCGAGGATGCTGGAGGAAAGGACAGTGGGTGGGGACGAAGGGAAACATCGCACTCACCTGTTATCCTCGGTGGAGCAGCAGGTAAAAGCTGTCCTTCCAGCTGGGCTCGGGCAGATTAGTGTCGCTGTCTTGGCATCTCACGCTCCCTTCGGATCCATATCCTCATCAGATCCTCCCGGGACAGTTGTATGAAGAAGAAAGTCCCCTGGTCACCGGCAGGTCCCTGCTCCCGTCCCACCGGCTCCTCTCCGTGCCCTGTCCGTGGTGCGCCGCTTGGCAGCGGGGGTGTCGGGAATGGTTTTGTAACTGCGGCTACGTCAGAGCTCCGCTTCCCTGTTTTTATTTATCTTGCTCAGTTTTTTGCCACAAAGGAAGTGGCTTTTGCCAGAACCTCCGCAAGCAAAATTTTGTGAATGGCTCTGTGTTTACTTCTGATCAGAAACACTCCTCCCCAGATGACAAACTGCTCGCTGGCTGCTCTCCTGGAAGGTTTCTGCCCTTCTGCTTTTCTCCCCCGCCTGCTGCAAGGCTCCAAGGACCTCAGCATCCCAGGGGGACATCATCCCTCTGGCAGCAGAGCAGGATGCTGGTGATGCTGGCGGGGCTGGTGCTGCTGGTGGTGCTGGGGGGGGCCG